TCATCAGGTGAAAGTTTTGATTTTTCTCTAACCCATGACGCCGTAAGATTTCGACATCGAGCATCCACCACCTTGCCCCATTTCTCCTGATTTACCTGTTTACGAAGAAAAGTTGACAAATGTCCATTCGAAAATAATGCGAAAGAGTATAAACACGTGGTATTACCGAAGAATTTATACAAAGGTTTTTGCGAGATGTTAGGCCAAGTCCTAAGTATTCATCCTTTGCTCCACATCGTTTTCGATATTCAATAAGATTACGAAGTTCTGCTAAAGCTTTCTCAATTTCTGGAACTGTTCGTGAACAATAAATTAACTTCCGCTTATCTTTATAAGTCTAAGAGTGAAAAATTACTATGTTACTTGTTTGATCCTCATATAAAACAAGTAAATCGATATGTTACCGTTTGAATTGCCACGATCAAAGATAGTAATGATACAGTTTTCCCAGTTCCGGAAGGCATTTCAAAAAAACAGTATTCCCAGTCCCGAAAGGCAATTAAAATAAAAAGTAAAACAAAAGACCCAAAAAAAAAAAAAAAAAAAAAAACAGTAAATGATCGTACTGCATATCGTGGATTAACTCAGAAATGAATACGTACCCCAGAATCAATTGCTTTCTTCAAATCTACCATATAAGAGTATTGTTCTGGGTATATTCTTTCATAAGGAAAGTAAATCGGCAAGTTGTTGATATTAAACCTAAATCATATAAACATCAATATGATTCGTGTGGTTTTGTAAAACTGGAAAACCTTAAAAACAGCACTCACTTCATTTTAGAATTTTTAGAATTAGAAATGATTCAAACGCGAACTGTAATTAAATATCAAGGGATATCCTTATACCGACACGCGAAAAAAATTTTAGTGGAACGGGGTGAGGGCACAGAATTATTGGACATACCCCCAAAAAAATGATGGTTATAGGTTACCAGATTACAATTAATTTCTGCTGGCATTAAGGCAAAAAACTTACCGGTAATTTTTACCATTTTTTTTAACTTGCTGAAGGCAACTTAACTAGTAAGTTGGCACATTTACCAGTAGTGTTCCCGAATGACGAAAAAAAATTATCGCTAAATGAGATTCTACTCGAACCAACACGTTCTGATTGGACGTCCTTAGTAACAATATTAATGATTATGGATTCATAAAAAATTTTTATGTGATTATCGATGATACCTCGATAACTATCTACCTAAATTGCCGGAATTTTTTTTAGTTTAATTATATGGATTGATATAATTAAAGTAAAAAAAATTTACATCAATTTTGGGTAATTATCGAAAAAAATTTAGAACAGATCACGGTTTTTTCAAAATTTCAAATTTTGAGCGATGATACCTCGATAGCTACCTGCCTAAAATTGATATTTTTTTATCTTTTTTTTTTTTTTAATTATATGGATTCATAGAATTAAAATAAAAGATTCTATCAATTTTAGACAGCGTTACTGGGATATTTTCATGAAAATTTGTTATCGTTATTAAGATCGTTACCGTAAATCACCATATCAGATATCAGATATATAAAATTCCCCTGTCTAAGTTAAACGTAACAAGTAGACATCCTCCAGTTGCCATCTTTTTCCTGCAATGTAATATACCCGGCTCGTTTATATGGAAATTTCATCCAATCAGAACGAGATAGTTCGAGTAGAATCCCTTAGCTAAGGTATATACTAGAAAAATCGGTTTTGGTACAAGTATACAGTGTTCGAAATTTCAGACACAAATACTGCTCTTATGAGAACATTATAATAGCTATAGGTGTTCTCAAAAAAAAAAAAAAAAAAAAGCTGATATTATAAATACATATTATAGATGAGAATACTTATCTTTATTATTCTACTGTTCACAAAAATTTTTAATAGAATTTATACGTACAGTGCGTACGTACTGCATTGCACCTAAATCCAATTTAACCAATATAAATATATAAATATAGTTATATAATAAACATTAGTATAATGAGGATTATATAAACTATTGCTTTGACACTGATGATATTATTATTCAGATCGGTAAACGACGGTACGGTAAACATTGTAGGCAAGCGAAATTCTTTTCTCCATTCTGGAAACAATCAATTAGAAATTAAACTAATTTATCATGAATGTCTATGAAGATTCATTGAAATTTCCAGATTTAAATATGAATTCTTTTTACGGTCTATGACAACCATACTTGAAGATTTCGATTGGGTAATTTAACAGTCTCTGATACTTTAAATGTTCATAACGTAGAAATTCTGTGCTTGATCACGTACATAATAAATATAGTACTATTGATTTTTTTTTCTCCGAATCCTTTTTATACATAATTTGTATAAAAGGAGTT